TTGGGAGGGGGGGGTTTGATTTTTACCCTAAGCTATATAAGGAATTGGTTCTGCCTTCCGTTCACACACGTTGGCAGTTCCCAGTCTGTTCTATCCGGCGGGCTTAAAAAAAAGTAGAGGCTGCTCTACCTCTTTTTTCAGTGCAACGCAACGCACTGGTGTGAACTGCTCCGATTGGCACTCATTCATTTTCAGATGTCCTTGCATGGGACCTTAAAGGGTATCTATGGTCAAAAACGAAAAATATGTCATTCTGTATTAAATTTCCATCAGTTCTATCCCACTCCTAATAAACATATCCATCTAGAAGTTAGTAAACGCACTTTACGTTTTTGTATAGAGTAGAAAGGGATTAGAACACCTGTCCGGTTTTTATTGTTGTCCGTGTCTTAGTTAGGGAGATTCACCCTCTCCGTTTGTCCTGGTGACCATTATTACTGAAAGTGAATATCAAAATTTAAGAACAGGAATATCTGGGAAATCCTCAAATGGGGGCACTGGTTGTGGTGATCCTGCAGACCACCAGTGCTTCCTTTCCCTCCCTCCTTCCCTGTTGTAGCTGTTGGACCGTAAATAAAGGGAAATCTCCCCGATGGACACAGAAGGCTAAAAAAGGGATTATAACCCCTTCTTACTCTATCCAAAACCAGAGAGAAACAAAAAAGCTTGTGGCTTTAGTTCTACTAAAGTTTGGACTTCTCAGCCAAGACCTTTTTGGACTGGCTTTGTCGACAAGTCGATTTGAAAAATCAACTTTTGTCAAATGGGCCTGGGAGGACTGTTGGGGGACAGGGTCCTGATCCAGCAACACACTGCCAAATGAAGATATTGCACAAAGTGCCTCATGTATACTCTGATGATGGCGGTAAAAGGAGGTCTGACGTTACTGCTTGGCTAAGTGATGTTGTCAGTTACAGATGGGCTTGTGGAATGAGGGCACATGCTTGATCCTTTAATGTACCGTGTTATGGTCATACTACAGGCCGGAGCTATGTCGGATGTTTATCCTGTACAGCATAATGTAACTCCTTGTGTAACCGAAGACGGCACATTAGAGTCATGTGGCCGCAGGCTGAATGCCCAACATATTTTTGCATAAAAATACTGTCATGTAAAGTTAAAGAGCAATAAGTGAAACTGATATCTGAACTACAGATGATATCCAGTCAACAGTGCAACTGATCCGAAGTCAGAAAGTCCACTGAATTTACCTTAAAGCTGAATGCCAAGTAAAGGCTAAAATGCACAGCTTTAGTACATACACACTATATTGCCAAAAGTATTGGGACACCCCTCAAAATCATTGGATTGAGGTGTTCCTTGCTACTAAATATTCTGCGGTCACCTGTTAGTGGTATTATAAGGAGCGGTTCCGTGGAGCACTTGGTCTGCTTTCTATGTATAAAATGAAATAATGAGAATCTATAGGTAGGAGTCAGACTTGTAGCTTACGCCGGGAAGCCTACAAATTTCTGAAATAAAAGCATTATGCAAGAAAAAGGGGAGAAACCGGTTCTAAAGAACAGAAACTCTTTTAAGAATCGTCTGTGATTTCTGCCAAGGAAGGTGCCACACAGTGCTGGATAAAAGGGTGTACAAATCGTACATTGTATCACAGTACATTGATGGTGTATTACAATTTGCAGAAACATTTTATGTTGGTTTCGTCCCCAGAAAAAAAGCAAAAAACTTTTTACTGCACAAACGAGAAAGACATCACATTTGACCGGGGGTGTCCAAACTTTTGTATAAACTGTATACATTTTTTTTCAAACTTCTTCTTTTTTTCCCACTTTTACATGCTTCTACTATAAGACAAGACATGTAAGGGGGAATTTATCAAAACTGGAGCAGTTGCCCATAGTGGCCAATCAGCAATCGGCTTCTCTCTTCAGTTTGTTCAGTTAAGATTTAAAAATGAAAGAGAGAAGCTGATTGGTTGCCATGCACAGCTGCTCCAGATTGTAGTTTTTTTTATGTTCCAGTGTTTCTAGTTTTTAGTCTTTTAGCAGCAAGTAGGTTTATCCAATGAGCCAGTTCAAATAACTGTCACTTCAGCAGAATCAACCAGCAGATTTGAAATTACTTTTATTAATTAAACCGTAATCAAAAAAATTAATTAATTAAAGGAGAACTATGAGGTGAGTGCTTTTCACTCACCTCGTAGTTCTAGCCGACGTGTGACCATGAGACTGTCACAGGTCGGCTCAGTAGATCGGGAAGTGAGCGAACAGATACCGGCGTTCGCTCACCTCTCGATCCTGTCACAGCTCTCTGCCGTGACAGGGGAGGGGCTGGATTCCCCCCTCCCCGCTCCGATCCTCCAGTGCTGACTGGCGGAACGGATGGGGCGGGGGCAGCTGGCTCTGCCTCTATATAGGCAGAGCAAGCTGTCACTCACGCAGCTGGGCGGATCCAGACATACCGAGCTTTGGGTGACGGGAGGTCTTCTGATCTAGATGACATAGTATGACCTCCGTTGGAGGTGATGGGGGCTGCTCTTTTGACACCCCTGATGGTTGGACAGCAATTGAAATAGGCCGGAAGAAGTTCATCCCAGCCAACCGGCTCCTTGCTACAGAGGGCTCGGCCAGTGGGGTTTATGCGATGGTTTACTGCAGGGCTGGACAAACATTGGGAACCAGGTAGCCAATGTTCCTTAAAAATGGCAGCTGGTGCCTAACATTTTGAGGTTTCTCTACTTGTTGTCAATAGAGCTGGCTTCTGGATTGAGCAGACTGGCACTTGAATTCCACATTCATATGTCCACCCCTTGGCCTACAGACATATAAACATGACGTGACTCCCCCATTCCATAGTAGGTCTTTAAGTGGATGAATCCGGTGATCTTTCTGTAATGTCTCTAGGTGCCCTGTGAACATCATCAGAGAAATTGCTCTAAAATGCAAAGGCTTGAAGACGCACTTCGATATCTATGTAAATTTGTGCAATGATGAATGCTCTGAGTAAAGTACAAGACAGCGTGACAAGTTTGTCTGTTGCCATCCAGTAAAGCTGTCCAGTCCTTTAACCAATGACTCCAGAGCTGTCTTAACTGGGTTATTCACAAAAGGGTGAAGAGTTTGGAGAAGGTAGGAGAAGTGAACAATCTATGGCAGGGGCGCCCACTATTTTTCGTTCGGAGATCTACTTTTCAAATGACAAGCTTAATGAGATCTATCAACGAAAAAACACCTGCATTGGGGGGGGAGCATGGCGGTGCATTGAAGTCAATGGCACTGCAGCCACGCCCCTTGCCCGCAGTGCGATCGCACGCACCTGGAACGCAGGCACATTAGTGCCTGCAGTCCGGTCCAGTGCGATCTGCAAAACTGCTGCAAGCACTATTTTTGCGGAATGCAGGCAGGCGTTCACACTGCATGGCTGCGGTGCCATTGACTTCAATACAACCCCACGCCCCCTCCTGCCCTTGAACGCAGGGAGTCAGCCGGCTTGCATTCCATTGCGTTCTAGAGGTGCCTGTGTCCTGTCCTCCCTGGCCGAATATGGCCCACGTCGCACACGGGGAGAGGTGTCCTACCCCTTTCCGTCTGTGGCGTCTAACACATTCAGCCGGCAGCCACACAAGCATAGCTGTAGCTAGCTACTTTTGCGCCCGAGGCAAGATGAAAAAAAATGCCTCCCCCCCCAACAGGCGTGTGATGTCACCCAGCGCCCTGCCTCCAGGATTTATTTATTTTTTTATTTACTTTTAATTTTTTTTTATTTACATTTTTTTTTATTGTTGCGGTGGGAGGCTTTGGGGAAATATTCGGGCTCTAAACAGCCCCCTGATATTTCCCTTTTTAAAATAGAAAAAGAAATTGAGGACACAGAGTCCTCAATCTCTTTTTCTGCAGCCTCTGTTCTAAATGAATGGCAAGCACAGAGGCTTCCCATTCATCAATGAAAAGTTCCACTTTGTCTATGTGATTTTTCTTTCTGTGAAAAAGTGTAGAAATTTTGGTTAAGGAGACATTTTTGTTTGGCCCAAAACAGATCCTGGCTAGGTAAAGCCTGTAACCCTCTGGAACCATTAAAGTCTATTGAACCTTTAAAAACCACCCTCATTTTGTCTCCTCCACTCACTCTGATGCATGGCCCTAAATGTATTTTTGTTTTGTTTTTGTTCTTTGTTTCTCCAGAAATGTTCAGGGAAAAGGAATCCCTCACATTTGCTCATCTCTAATCCTTTCCCCATGTCTGTAGCTACCCTACATTGATATTTGTTTGATCGGCCCACATAACAGGTGCCCATTAGCACTGGATATATCTTGGATTATGCAGAATGCGCCTTTGTTATTTTGTAACCTTCTGTTTCCTTTTTTACAGGCGATGACAAATTCGGGCGCAAGATTGTCATGTTCAGCGCCTGCCGCCTGCCTCCGTGTCACCAGCTCGATCACGTTAAACTTCTGGAGTAAGTGTCTATAGTAATCCCTAGGTGCTGTGTTGCCAGCTGGCCTGCCATATTCCCAACCAGGCTTATTAATCAGCCTCTGCCGTACAAACATAAAGGTCTGCTGTAGAGCCTGACACAGAAGCGGGCAGCTGGCCTACTTAGATTCTGATGTTTTCCTCCGAGGGGTAAGAGCTCGCACCATATTTGGTGCTCGGCCCTCTGCATTCCATATGGTTTTATTACTATTTCCAGCTGTAAAAAGAAACCCTTCTGTGTTGGCTGGACTGCCAGACTAATCCAAACTATGGCTTTGTAGGATTGGGCTTTTGTGTATAGCAGACTTTTTAGCTTTTTTTTTTTTTTTTTCTTTTCTCCAAAACTTTGCTTACAAAAAGGCTGTAATGGATACCCATATAAGTCTACACGCTACAACGCTTTACAGCGAATGCTGAAACATTCACATTGAGCTTACCAGCTGAAGTCCCTATCTCTCATACATAGATGTGCTGTCACCCCAGGGCCCTATCTCTCATACATAGATATGCTGGCACCCCGGGCCCTGTTTGGATGATGGCCCGTTATCCTTCCAGTATGTTTTAGGCTCACCACAATCTGACCAGATAATTAGGTATACCAGCAACTATGTAGTTCAATGGCCTGCCTGGTTGGATAGATTAGGTAGGCCCTAAATTACATAGTTTCGGTGATTCTAAAGTTCATTGTCACACTGTATACATTGTGTATATTGTTAATTGGGTACATTGTAACACGTACGGGGGATTGGAAATACAAAGAGGAAACTCGCATAAAGGTCAAGCGAACATATACACTGCCTGGCCAAAAAAAGTCACCACCTGGATTTAGCTAAGCGAATAGGTTCGAGCCTTCCATTGGATAATAGGTCTAGGTTCAGCAACGTTAGGTGCCCAAAAAAGGAGGTCAGCTGCCTACCTGAATATACTGAATGACTAGGTTTTTCCCGTCAATGGATTTTTTATTTTCTTCCCTGATGGCACATTGGGCATATTACATGAGGAAAATGCCAGGACTCATCGGGCTTAGATTGTGAAAGAGTGGTTCAGGGGGCATGAGACATCCTTGTCACACATGGATTGGCCACCACAGAGTCCAGACCTTAACCCCATTGAGAATCTTTGGGATGTGCTGGAGAAGACTTTACACAGAGGTCCGACTCTCCCATCATCACTACAAGATCTTGGTGAAAAATGAATGCAACTCTGGATGGAAATAAATGCTGTGACATTGAATAAGCTTATTAAAACGATGCCACGGCGAATGTGTGCCGTAATCAAAGGGGAAATTACTCGGGGCACTAGCAGAAATACAAGCAAATGTTCTAGTAGAGTCAGGAAGGTTTCCATCTGCTGTCTGACTTTAAGAGAAATGTGCAGAGCAGTGCAGGCAACGTAAGGAGAAATGTGCATAGCAGTGCACTGCAGGCAACGTAAGGAGAAATGTGCAGAGCAGTGCAGGCAACGTAAGGAGAAATGTGCATAGCAGTGCAGGCAACGTAAGGAGAAATGTGCATAGCAGTGCACTGCAGGCAACGTAAGGAGAAATGTGCAGAGCAGTGCAGGCAACGTAAGGAGAAATGTGCAGAGCAGTGCAGGCAACGTAAGGAGAAATGTGCAGAGCAGTGCAGGCAACGTAAGGAGAAATGTGCATAGCAGTGCAGGCAACATAAAGAGAAATGTGCATAGCAGTGCAGGCAACGTAAGGAGAAATGTGCAGAGCAGTGCAGGCAACGTAAGGAGAAATGTGCATAGCAGTGCAGGCAACGTAAGGAGAAATGTGCATAGCAGTGCAGGCAACATCTTTAAAATCGTACGAAAGTGTCCACAGTGGGACAATTTAATTCCCAGGTCCACATTGCCTTCCCTTTTTTTAGAATTTGTATGCATAGCATTTTTCCTGGAGTCTTTGGTCAGCTTGCGTGTCATCACTGGGTCCCCTTTATCTGTTCTCCTTACAGCAGTAGGCGGATCCTAAATGCTGTAGAGATTGGCCCCCCAGAATGACATGGCGCTATTATGGCCAGCATTCTCCTGCGAGTCCATGGTGGGTTCTTGATGCTTGCGGCTCACAGGACGTGGAGTGGTGGTGTTCTGGTTGTGTTTTTTTGTTTTGTTTGTTTTTTAATACAGGAGGGGGTATCGGCAAATGGAAAACTGACACTGGAGTTGGCCTTGTAGTCCTTGCACTTCCGCACTCCATTAGAAAAAGTGGCTAATGTTGAGCTTTAATCTGCAACCTCCCAATACTAACCTTTTATCCCCCATATAGAAGACCTACATCCATAAATACTGGCTTCAGCCAGTTTTAAAGCTGAACACCTTGATAAGCAAATATTGTCTACATACTGGAAGCCTGTGAATTCTTCCTTGAATCCTGGTTATCTTTGTGTATTTCTTCCAGATCTGTGCAGTAATCTAATGTAAAACGTGAAGCTTCCTGTAGTAAAGACCAGTCACTGCTGCGCTCCCTCCTTGTGCAGGGTGACTGGTCTTGTCTCTGTTCCCTCCTGTGTTTTTTTTTTTTTTCTTTTTCTTCTTAGCTCTCTGCACAGGCTATGTACAGCACAGCAATGACCTCACCACTATTTTTACAAAGTAATAACTGTTTGGAAAAGCGTTTGGTGCACACAAAGTGAATTTATATCCTTTGTGCCCGGAGTTCAGCTTTAAAGGGTGATTTCAATTTCCATTCAAAGGCAGCCTTTTTGTTCACGAGTAACTAACATCACCATGTGGCATAAATCTCCTGTGTTCCTTATGCCTTTATTGCCATTTATAGCCTCTGATGAATTTATTTACACATCCTTCACACCACATTCATATTTGGCCTTCATACCCGGCACCTCCTCACTGCTTCCTGGTACCGTGTCCCAGTTGACATATGTTAGTGGGTTGCTTTGCCTTTTGATCAACATAAAGAAGAATGGAAAGAGGAAGACTGTGGAAGGAAATTGCACAACAAAACATAAGACATACCCGACATAGACTTTCAGGGCACTGACAAAGCAGAATTAGGAGGAAGTAAAGAAAATAAACAGAAGATGCTAAACTCTGGGGAGGTATAAAAGATAATCCAGGAACGTATTCATCAAAACATTACATCTTTGTATACATACAGTCAATATAAATGTCTCAATCGATCTTCGTTTGCTTCCTGCAATCCTCTGGACTAGGACGGGAAAGGCCAGCACTGTGACCCTCTCTGGTTCCATTGGTTTGCACAGTTGTTAGTCTAACACTGTGCAGATGCTTACGGGGGAACAGAACAGAGGTCTATCATCATCAATTTGCTGCCTCTTCTTCTTCTTTATTGCCCATCCAGCAGGCTGGGAGGGAGAGGTGACTAATGAAGTTTGTACCTTTTTTCCCTATGGTAATCCTTTAGGCTCACCACACAAACTACAATATGACTAGACAATCTCCGTACAATTGCTTTAGAGCTACCAGCACTATGTAATATGAGGACCTACCTAAACAATGCAGTCAGTCTGTATACAATCAGGCAGAGCCTTGCATTACATACTTGTTGGTAGATCTATCGGAGATTGTAAAATCATTTTGAAACATGTTTGGTGAGCTTTAGATGGTTCTACCATTGGGATAGGGGGAGGTATTGTGTGTGCACATAGGGGACACTTGCAGCTCTAACTGTAAAGCTGATCATACACCTTACACCTACGAATTTCGACTGGTTCTTGATGAGCCACCAGCTGCTGTCAGAATACCCAAACACAGCTGACAGCTCATTGGCTGCCAGCCCTGTTTGTTTGAAGACTTTCTGACTGGCTCCTTTGATCAGCTGATCGAAGAATGCCGGCTGACTGTGCAAATTTCAGCTGACGTCCCTCGGCCGCTGCTGATGGAAGGAGCCGGCAATGAGTTGCCGGCCTTGTCCGGGCGTTCATATAGTGACTGTTGTCAGGATACAGTTCAAGCAATGGGAGATACCTCAGTCAACACTCTTAAGGAGGAATCTGTTATGCACATAAAAAAAAAAACCGTGTGGGTAGAAAGCAAAAATGAAAGGTCCAGTTCTCTCAGTGGCTTCTGCTGTCTTGTGGATTCTGTAGTGCAGAAGTAGGTAACCTCAGTACTCCGGCTGTTGCGGAACTAAAAGTCCCATGAGGCATTGCAAGACTGACAGCCACAGGCATGACTCCTAGAGGCATGATGAATTTTCTCAATTCACTGCAGCTGGAGTGCCGAGGTTGCCTATCCCTGTTCTAGTGGTAAGATTGCGCTGCCATAGATTTAAACCTGGATTCTATATGTGTTTGGGTATCCCTGCCAACATTCCCATTCCTACTGTTGCATTCTCCAGAGTTCCAATTTAAAAAGGTCAGTAATGGCGGTGGTTTAGAATACTACCACATTGTTGCTGGCATGCTGACATAGAAATTAAAGTACATGGACCTTACTGGCTCACTGTTAGGTAATCTGCCAGAAAGTGAAATATTCGTTATTGGTGAACTGACCCTTTTTATAGGGCATCACAAGCCTGACCCGCTCACCGCACCAGTCTGTGCTCCATGTGGCAGCCCCAGAGTACACTTTTTACACAGAAAATGCAGGTCATGTATAGACCAGGCAGTTACACTCTTGACTTTGGGGTTTAATTACGGGGATTAAAAATTAGTTATTATTTACACTGTGATAACAGTAGAGTATATTATAAACTAAACTGTCTCCAAGAAAAACATATTCAGGTCTAAGTTGATAATTATGCACTGCATGTTACCTCCAGGTAGTAAAGCCAAACAGATTTCGATTCACTGGCTCCAAAGTTGGGAAATGGCAGCTTCCATTAGGGACTTCTAAAATGGACCGTTTTGTTCTTTCCTGAAGTCCTTTTAAAGTGCAATTGTTCTTACTAAGAGATCTTCATATTCTAATGACCGACATCCTTAATGACTGATATGCGACCTCTGTTTTTCTTTTTCCCTGCAGGTATCTGAAGCACACATTGGACCAGTATGTGGAAAGTGATTACACGCTGATCTACCTGCACCATGGCCTGACCAGTGAGAACAAGCCATCTCTGGGCTGGCTGAGAGATGCGTATCGAGAGTTTGACCGCAAGTAAGGACCCAACCCTGATCTTGGTATCCAAATAAAGGAGGATCTCTATTGATCCATTGCCATTCTCTAGTTCCATTCTCTAGCTTGTCATATGTGCAGATTTGAATCTCATCCAATCACTCCGAGGCAACACAGACACTTATCATGATGATGCCTGTAGGTACCTGCACTGTATACCTGCTAGCGGCTTTCGTTCCCATTTATTACCCCTGAATTGTGGACCTTTATGAACAGGCAATGCTCTGACACATCCAGTTGGGTTGGGAAAACGGTCAAATTCTGACACTAATTTGAAGTGCCAGAGCTTTGGCCATTGAGAATGTCTGTCTGGAATCTGACCATCACAGAAGGAAATTAATAGCTGCTGCAGGTTTATAGAGCTGACTCTCACTAGCTTCACTGTGCAGGGATGCTTAATAGGTTTAATATGTTCTCTTGTCTATATTTCTGTCCACTTCCACTTCTGAAATCCGTAAATGTCTCTACTGCCTATAAAAACAAAATACCTATTTTTTTTTTTTATGCCGCTGAACTTTGAATAGGAAGTTGAACTTTAAGGTGCCCACAGGCATAATGCAATATTTGCCCGATCCAAGTTGCATTCAGATTAGGAAATGATGGCAGGTCCATGGACCCTCTCCAACCTCTCTGAATACTCCCATACCAATATATGACACCTTTAAAAACCCCAAGTTGGCAGTTGTTTCAAATCTGTGTGTGAGATGGGATGTGGTGTCTCATACACCCCTTTAATAGTGCGGTTTGCTGTATATTCCCCATACCAATAATCAATAGCAGAATTGATGGATATCTATCTGTTGATTACTATTTATGTCCAGGTTTCTTTCCTCTTCTTTTTTTTATTTTTTATAAACTTAAAAAAATAGTGGCATTTTGAAATCCTGAGCTGCTCTAATATGAAATGTGAATTTTAATAATTGTCTTGCATTAGTATAAAATCCTGATGTTAAAAGGAAATTAATTTGAAGTGTTTATTCACCTTTGTTACCCCGCTGTGCTGTGGTAAGCGAGGAATCCAGCCGAGCTGGCACAGAGATGTATACAAATGAAATGAGTACAGCTGCCAGGTCTGCCTTTCATCTGTACTGTGTCCATGGAGAAGGTCTTGTACAGGAAACATAAGTGTTCCATACCAGCTATTGAGAAGCGCTTTGTTTATATTCCCAGTGACATCAGGAGAGGGGAAACTATGTGGATGGAATGGTGCCGTGAAGTGTGTTTTTCTCTATTCTGTTGTCTATTGATGTTTCTTTGCAGACTGGAGCAGTGTAAAGCCACTTTTAGATATGGGGTTACCACAGGAAGAATTATCTGTAAAAAATAAGTCAAGGCAACTGGACTTGCTGTATTTTTCTTGAAGTCTTCAAGAAAAATACAGCAAGTCCAGTTGCCTTGACTTATTTTTTACAGATATACCATGACCTGGATGAATGAGACCCTTCACAGACCTAGGAAGAATTGACCACCAATTAGTAATTTTTTATAGAATGATTATGGCATAAAGGTGCATACATTGGTATCTGCCCAGGCAGACGCTCCTGCCCACTGCCCTAATTTTGGGAAACTAGTAGCAATCAGATGGGAAAATCCATGCCATCATTGGTTCTCCATTATTGGGGGAGCCCAGGGGGGCTGCAGAGGTTGACACTTGCCCATAGACTTACCTTAGGCTACAGTTTTTAATGTTTTAGGCGTCAGTTTTACCTCATAGGTCTGATTTAATGATACCACTATGCAATACAGTATAATCTGAAAATATTCATATGGAGTGGTGGTCTAACTGATGGAGTCCCCAAGGGATATAAGAAAACCATTGGGTGACTGAACCTTTTGGATTTCACTTGAAAATGAAATCTTAGTTTTAGCTGGACTGACCCCTTAACTTTATATCCTTGTCTTCTTCACAGGTACAAAAAGAACATCAAGGCTTTGTACATTGTCCACCCCACGATGTTCATCAAGACCTTACTGGTTCTGTTTAAACCTATTATCAGGTGAGGCTTCTGAATGGTGTTGTATATGAGAACGTTGGAGATTGCTAATCTAAGAACAAAAATACACCACAAAGTCATCTCTGTGAGCAGTGGACATTTATTTATATAGCTTCTGGTGGCCCTCGTTTAACAGACTTGTTCTGTTTTCCCATACATACCAGCTTTTCTCGTTTTATCATTTTAGTCCATATGATAGAATGGAAGGGGCAGTCTTGTTGGTTGCTGTGAGAAACAAGAACTAGTCTTCTATTTACCGCTTCATCAAACAAGATTGAGTACAGGGATTGGTGGCAGGGTTTTGAATAGAGAAAGCAGCTGATCCTCTAAACCAGTAACCAGAATAATTTGCTGGCTCTGCCCCGCCAACACCATTAAAGGAGAACTGGTGTGTAAAGTCATAAATACTGTGCAATTCATACTCCGGTACAATACAGAACCACTGCCATAAACGCTACATGTGAAAAGCGCTGTTGGCCACAAAGCTACATTGATGCAATTGGTAATAATGTTGAACAGTAAAGGAAATATATGAGATTATTTCCCGTTTTTTGTCTTTTAGCTTCAAGTTTGGTCGGAAGATTTTTTATGCAAATTACCTGAGTGAATTGGATGAGATTATCAAGATGGAGCAGTTGGGGATCCCCAAATCAGTACTCGAGTAAGACTTTTTGAGATTTGCACATGTTTTGAAGTGAAAACAGTCACCTGTAGGTCAACTCAATACATTGCAAAGATTATAGGAATGTTTCTTGCAGATTGTACCTGCTTCTGTCATGTAAGTTTTGATGTAGACCATTCTGTTAAAGCTTTAACATTCATCTTTCAAAAAAAATTTGGGAAAGTTTAATTTAACTGAATAATCGGGTCTAGCGTCGCAGTAGGAAATACTGTACCTGCAGCATCCCTGTAAGGATACACAAACATTGGCAGTGCAGTAAACCCATTTTTGGTGGTAGCAGTTTCCATTCAGGAGACTTGTTTTATGCGTTGTGTGATTTTAGAACACTGTTCAGCTAGACTTGTGATCTAGTTATCACTGCTAGATCGCATAACCAGGTCTTGACCTTTTTGAGATGTCTCTGCAGACTATAGTGCAGCGGTGCAATACAACTTCATCCAGGACTCTCCCCAGCCTGTGATTGGACAATGAAGAAGTGGTAGTAGAAGACATAACTTATCTGTTCCCCAGTCAGGTACCCTATAGTGTTAGGAGGGCAGGTCTGTGCAATTCAAAAGAGTCCTAACTGGATTAAAAATTATCTCCCTCTCTCTTTTTCCCCCTCTCTCCCCCCTTCTCTCTCTCTCTCTCTCTCTCTCTCTCTCTCTCTCTCTCTCTCTCTCTCTCCTCATCCTCATCCTCATCCTCATCCTCATCCTCATCCTCATCCTCCCCTCTCTGATGGTGACACAGGATGCTGCCGAGCTGAACCCTGACATAGTGCAGTCAGGATGATAGTGGGACGTGACTCACAAGACTGAAGACAATTTATCATGATCTGGCAGGCAAAACCGTTCCAATAAATGCATTTCGAATGTTTATTTAGTGGTTTGCCTTGAGTTTTACTTTAAAGTGTTTTTCCATCTGAAAATAGTTGTTTCTAGTAGATTCCGTCAGTTCCTAACTTCCTAAATGTTGTGGCTATTCTAGCAGTGAGGTATGCCTGCCATATTCCTAGTGGTGGGGTCCCTTTTTTTTCAATATCGTGTGTTCCAGCTCCTCCTGTTGCACTCTAATGTAAAGTCATTCAAAATCCAGCAGGGAGAGACAGAACTTGTCAGTAGTGTAGATCCAGCACCTTGTTCTTCACCTTGAGAAATAGAAGAAAATGCACACGTGGCTTAAAAATAATCTTTAATTTTTGCCCATTCGGGGCAGTGTGACTGGTTCTCTTGAGTCTTGACAGATCACTTTCCCCACCCACACCCACAGATACCTTCGCCATACTACCCCCACCTTTCTATTCATTTGTCAAAGCCTTCATAGATACCTGGTACTTCAGGAATGGGGAAGCATGTGACCTTCTCCCCTTACTCCCAGAATGCAGTGCTCAGGCCTGAGTGGCCAAGCACCAAGCCCAAACACTTTAACATGGGAGGGGGGAAAAGGATCATTAACCTTGAGGTCAGTGGGTGTCCGTGTCAGTGGGTGTCCTATCAAGAGAACCTATCACTTCGTCCTGAATGGGCAAAGTGACAGTTTCTCTAACTCTGCAGCATCTATCAAAAATTGATATATCAGTTTTGCGTCAACTGACACATTAGGCAGCAGACATTTTGGCCATGTGTTTATAAGATTGGTTTTAAAGAGACTTACCGTATTTTCCTGAACTTTTTTTTTTCCCTATGCTCAAGGTATGACAAGCTTATCCGCTCTACAATGAAGACCCAACCAGCCAGTCAGAAGACTGCTCCTCCCCGGCCGCCTCTGCCTAACCAGCAGTTCGGTGTCTCTCTGCAGCAGTGAGTATCTTGCACTAGATATGGACAAAACAGGACCGGAGCGCAACTACCAAAAAGGACGTAGATAGGTTTGTAATATCTATCTACGTCCTTTTTAGTAGTTGCGCTCCTGTCCTGTTTTGTCCATATCTGCAATTTTGAATAGACAGGGTCCTCTCCCTGTATTGAGGAGCTTCTGCACACCTTTACATAATAGCCACCTAATTGTATTGTGCCCACAGGAGTGCGCTTTATCCTTTTTTGTATTTTCCTATCTTGCACTAGACCCTGCCTTTTCTTTTTCTTTTTCTTCCAATCCTTACTCTTACATCCCTCTTTTCCATGAAGGTTGAGGGAGAAGCGCCCAGACAATGAGAAGATTCCCCATGTTATACAGGAGACAGTGCTCTATCTTCGACAGAATGGTAAGGAATCTTAATTCCCGTCTCTCTCATGGCCGTAGCCTTTAACAACAAACACTTTTATGAAAATTGGTGAAGTAGAAAATGGTTAAACACCATCAGTCAGATTCCGTGTGGAATTTAACACCTAATTGGTTGCTCTGTTCATCTGACTTGGTTCTTTATAAAATTGTTTCATTGTCCCTTGCCTATTTTTCCATCATCATGAATTATTTCTTACCTGATGTTGGCTAGATGCGGTTATTGTCTGAGTTGGTAGTGTCCCAGGGGATACTTGCTTACAACTATCACTAATAGGCAAGACACTTATCAAGCACATCAAGCATTTCTTAATTGCCCATAGACACTTGTTAATGGTTAGACTTGATAGCACTAGGCAAAGCAACAGAGCCCATTTTGGCGTACAGTGCCACCCCTCCCCACCCCTCCCTCTCAGTCTGATCTCAGGACAGTTGAAGTACTAACTACTAGCTGAAATACATTTTTATATCTGACGTTTGTATGACTTCTTTAAGTGCACTAGGTCTCTTGCCTTGTGCATTCATACGATCACCGAACTCCTTTGTGAATGCTAATATCCTTACACTTTATTCTGATGCAAGAAGTTTCTCAGGCTCAGTCTGCATTGCTGATATTTATCCTGCAGTTCTACTTGATTTCCCATGTGATACAGCTACTTGCCTGATGCTAAATATTACTCCTCCTCCAAGAGGTTTTAAATGATGGCAGAAGCCTATCAACCCCTTTGTGACTGGATGTCATTGATGCCCAGGCCAAATTTAGCAGCACCAGCTTACTTGACAATAACTCTTGACTAGTTTGCATGTCTACTTACATTTTTAATACTAAAAAAACACAAAAAAATATATTATTTTTTAGCAGGGTGCGGGATTGCGGGACATGCAGTTCTGGGCGCTAGGCAGGTGTTTTCCCCCCCCCCTATATTTAGCCCTGCTGCGGGCTAAACATAGTATGTAGTAAAATGTACTTTTCTACAAGTAATGTGTACAGCCGCCAAGATCATTTGTAGCAGCCTGCTTGTCCATTTCCCCCCAGGGCCCTTTTTTTTTTTTTAATCCCTGTGTAGTAGCGATAAAGTTAGGTATAAAAAAGAATAAAATATTTAAAGTGATAAAGTTAAAAAAAAAGTGATAAAGAAAAAGATAATAATAAAATAAATGTAAAAATAGTTATAATGTAACAAATACAATTAAAAAAGTGATTTTAAAAAAAGATTAAAAATATTAAAAACACGTACAATGTGCATTAAAGGGGAAGTTCACTTACCCAAGTAATTTTGTGAATATGGAATCCCCCCCCTCAAATCTGGGCCTTTCAGTGAACAGTCCTTCCCCTCCACCGGTACGGGTGTACTATCTGTACCCCTTATGCCTGGTTCACACCTAGGCGTATTGCATATGCGCGTCTGTCGTGCGACAAACGCGCGTTTCCGAGGGCTACTTGGCTGTATCCCAATGGAAACGCGCAACAAAAACGGCCCAAAGTAGTACATGTACCTTTTCAGGCGTGGGCCGTTTTGTAGCGCGTTAGGGACGGGCTGAAATACGGCAAGGTGTGAACCAGACCCATTGAAAACAATGGGATTTTCATGTTTGAGCGTTTTGTAGAGCGTTCGTCGAGCGTAGAACGCGCTACAAAACGTTCAGGTGTGAACAAGGGCTTACTGCGGTCCAGCGCAGCCCTGCACTATAGATTTTGAATTTCGCTCACAAGTTTCGCTCACTCTTTCAGAAGCAACATCACCTGACTGCGCTGACCAACGAGTGCTCGCAACTCGTTGAGAAGTAGACATGCGCACCGGCAAAAAATTTGTTTAGTTCCGTGTTGTTTTGATTCGGATTTTGCGTTTTTTGTTGTTCGGGTGCGAAAGTCAATTCGTTTCCAGAATCGGATTCAGATGAAAATAACATTCGTACAGACTACCGCTAACGAATTTCATCCGAAATTTCGTTTTCAGAAATTTGAATTCGTCTTCATTCGTCATTTCTGTTATTCGGATACATCCGAATCTCCAAATAACGATAATGTGTCCGAAAAACGAGTTTTTCCAAAATGAATCGCACATGTCTATAGAGAAGCGCTTCTTAGCACGGGTAAATACGATTTGGGTTAAAATTATGTTTTGTAACACAAGTAGATTGGGCCCGTGCTTTAGTCCTTGGACAAGTAGTTTAACAAATTTTCCGCATCCCTGTTTTAGGCTGACAAATGTGCAAACAATTTGTTAAAAAAAAATGTTATTCTAACTTTTTTTTTTTTGACAAATGTATTATTTTTTAAATTGTAATTGCATCTGACAGTTACACTATGAAATAAATGGCACACCAGATCCTGCTGCAACCTGGCAGTGTTTGTGTCCAGGCTGAGGGCTTCTTTTGGTCAAAGCAGATTCTGGCCTCCAAGTGATCATTCTGTCACAGCGGACATAATGATTGCATGATCATTGACTCTGATTGGCTTCGATTGCCAGTGGGGACTTGAGCTGTCTGTGGATTGAAAGCCAACAAGGTTTTGGCTGCGGGGTGCAGGGAGGAAAAGGGGGCTTTTTAATAAGCTATCCCCCTTTTATATCCATATTGTGCTGGAGAACAATAATAAACAGATTGTCAGAGGGGGTTAATGGCTGTTTCTTCAGGATGGGCAGAGTTTTTCTACATTGAGGTCAGTTGCTTTATTTCTGTGGAAGTGTTGCAAACATTATTCTGTGTCTGTCCAACCAAATGACCGGAAAGGAGTGCTTATCACTCTTCAGACTTGAGATGCAATTTCCTGTCAAATTTTTCTAAGCATGCCATTCAAAAGCCTGTTATGAACAGGCCACGGGGCTGACCTCTCTGCGGATCTGTTGGTGGAATTTTTATTTTCTTGTGTCACACAGTACATTAATAGATATTTCCACCACAGAGAATCTCAAAAGACTGCAAAGTTTTGCTTTAAACAATTAAAAAATCGAGTTATTGTGCAGGCTGGAAAATATGGGTGTTTAACTTACATTTTGTCTTGGGACAATTCAACAGGTCATAAGGGGGACAATTCAACAGGTCATAAGGGAGCAACTAAGAGAATTTCCAGCTCTCCCTTTGTCCCCGCAGCTTGATTTATATTGCGGCCCTCGCTGTATTATAATTATATTGTGTTTGGGATGATGAAACTATTGATAAACATGACTCCCATCCACAGATGTAACCATTATGCTTTGTGCTGACATCTGCCACTTACAAAGTTAGCAAAAAGAGGAACCGGCTTGTTTGCACATATTAACCTTTCACCCTGTGACCTTGCAGCTCTTGACACGGAGGGGATATTCCGGAGGTCGGCCAGCACTCAAGTGGTGCGAGAAATTCAGCAGAAATGCAACACAGGTGAGAATTGTATAATGGCTTTGCTTTATTTTAGTTTGCCAGGGTTTAGTATAATACCTTAAGTACATAATGGTACAGGATACACAGAAGAGAGTTGATAAGATTTTATGCCAAAGGATAACAAAAACAAAGCATGCTGCCTAGATGATGAAAGGGCTGATGAAGAACACAGTAAAAAGCCAAAGAAAGGCAGCGCATGTACGGTAAGACAAAGCGCAGAGCGTAAAAGCAAAAAAGCAAGTCCAAATGTAAACATTTTTCATTGAAACACATTGTGTAGGGGTCAAAGATACAGACAAGCCTGTTGGCATTGTAGTCGTGGATGGCGAGTGTTTCAGAGAAGAAAGCTCTGGAAGCCTATCAGGATAACACTGACTGAATAGAAATGAAATAAGATATTATTGGAATGAATGTAGATATTATTGGAAACTATGTAGGGAGGAGGAACATTTGCTATATAATCAGGTCTCTAATCCTTTCGTGCCCAGGGCTTAATGAAGCCTGGATTCCCAGGCGTGATCCAGGAGCATCGGTATGCGCTGGCTAATGTGACTTTAATAATATAACTAATTTGCCTACCTAAAAAAAAAAAAAGATTACATCTTTTTAGGATCTATAATGCTTTTATTTGTTACACTTTTTAAATAAAAAAGGATTTTATTCTTGCCTTAAAACCCAGCAATGATAGACAACCTTTCCTAGGTCCTTCAGGGCCTGTTCACTTGATATCGGGTCCTGAGGCATTTTGGACGCGTTTTCCGTTTCCTGACCGGACAAAATGTGACATGCAGTACTTTTCTGTCGTAACCTGAACGGACTGCGCACGTGAGAACTGTAGCCCATAAAACACATAGGGATACATTGGGATGCATTTTGAGTGCAGGAGCGTACGGATCAGGTCAGCACACAAAACGGACGTCGTGTGAACAGGCACTAAAGGAAGATGTGACAAAGATAAACTCCAATAGCCCACACACTATCCAAACAATGTAGAAACTTCTGTAGGATACACTGGAGTAGGATGACGGGAAGGCAATATAATGTATTTATTAAGATTAAAGGCAGAGACCACTTTTGGGAAAAAGGAAGTACTTCTAGGAAGCGCTCTATTCACACCAGTGCAGTCCATATTTATGCAGTCAGAAAAAAACACTGCTTGCCCTATTTTAGCTGCATCGGATCACACAGGAACGCATCAAAACAGATACTTTTAGAGTACCAGTGCAGATACTTGGCATTTTCATGAGAACTCCCAGGGTTGCAGCTGGGACCGGGCTCTGGCGCTCCACCACTGTCCTGAAATCATTAGTCTGTATTGTTTTAGAAAAACTGTCACATGACAATAAACAAAAATGTATCAGGAGCCACTCCCATGCTGATTGCAGTGGGAGCTAGAGCCGTCTAGCAGCACGTCCCTTCGGCACAGGGGAAAAAAACCTGTTGCACAGGGTTCCCCAACTCCTATTGCCCCATCCCTTGTATCACCACCCAAAAATGCACACATACTGAAACCTACTGCAGAGGGATCCCCACCCCTTTTTTTTTTTTTTACCCAATCCCTATCACTTCCCACATATCCCAACATTACTGAAGCCTAACAAAAGTTATATTTTGCTTACCAGAGTGCAACTCTATACATGGTTTTACATTTTATACAGGTCAAAATCTCCCACTGAATGCTGCAGATTATTTTTGGGGTTGGGTTCAATGCTTATCCTACTGCTCTTTAGTTTCCAAGTGCTGGTATCTTGCAGGTCTTTAGCTAAAGGCTGACCTACAACTGTATGCAGTCGAAATATCATTTGTTTTAACTGTTTTTATCTGCCCAATTATTTTTTATTCTTTCCGGACAGCAGTAGTGATTAGCACACTGATGCCACAATGCCCAGCCAGGCAACTGATGACCTTTGTTTCCTGATTTAGATTTGCAGCTACCTGTCATTTCTGCCTGCTTGTTTGCCAGAGAATCAGCATCATCACATTGGTGACGCCTGGAATCCGGATTGGAGATTTATGTATGACACAAACAATTGTTTGAATACCCTACAAGTCACAAACCTGGTTCCTTGGTTGGCGTTCCTATTTACTATCTTTAGGGAGATTTAAAGATTGGATTATGACACCTATGTTTTGCTTGAATGAGAACAGAGAAGTGTAAAGGGCTTGGTGCTGAATTTGCTCAGATCAGTAGATAACATATCACTAAGTTTTGTTTCTTAGCTGTGGGTGGCCTGATAATAAAAGTTTGCAAAAGGTTACATTTTATAACGTTAAACATTTTTAAATATGAGTAAACTTACAAAAAAATTTTTTTTTTTTGTTTTAACTCAGGAACTCCCATCAGTTTCGTGGAGTACAATGATGTTCACCTGACAGCAGTTATTCTCAAGACATTCCTCCGAGAGCTGCCAGAGCCGCTTCTGACATTCAAACTTTACAAATATGTTGTTGACTTCTCCAGTAAGTCATTTATATTACACTTCCCATCACTAAGAGCATGGGCAGAGTGATGGCAATTGTAGCCTTTGCTCTGTGTGGGTCCCCTAGGCAAGGGAGCATGTTGTAAATGAGCTCTGCTACTGTAGCTTACAAGCTTTGATGATTTGATCTGGAGCAGGGTATCGAGTATATTGCTGCCTTGCCTTTTACTGATCAGTCTATAGAGGGTTTCTCAACCGGGGTTTCTGCAAGCAGTCCCCAGGGGTTCCACTGCTAAAGGGTGACGGAGCGGGATGATAAGATGCATTGTGCATGGGGAATGGAGAAGACACTGGCCGGGCTGGTGGAGACAATGGGGTTTCAGGCACATGTAGCAAAGTCCGGATGTTTGTTTAGGTGGCTGCTGAGACAAAAAAAAGTCTTATATAATGTTTCATTCAATTTAATCTCTGATATTGCTGATGCATATTTCAGTATGTATTAAGCATGCATGTGTCTCCGCCAAATCAGCTTCATCATTTATTTAATGTGGGAGCTCCCACTATCCCTATCAGGCAACCAGAGGACCAGGATGACCATAATTATAGTACAATATATTTATAATAATAGTGTGAACATTTCCCCAGGGGGTGGCTGGACAGCTAGTATGTGAGCTGTAGATCTGAAAAATATTTCAGGGGTTCCCAGAGACCTGAACATTTTTTTTCAAGGTATCCTTCATGGGAAAAAGGCTGATCTATAGCCCCCCTTGTGCTCTCCGAGTTGTAGGCTCCTGCAGGGACATGATTAGGATGTGCATGGCGTGCTTAAAATCAACTCACTCATTTTGTTTGCACTTTGAAGTGCAGAAAGGAAGCTTTGATTTTTCTTTTTGGGGTGTAGCATTTTCTTTGGCCTTCTCAGTAAGATTTTCCCACTTTTCCATCCTGTCCATACTAGCTGTGGAAGGCAATGGTGGCTGGAGCAACATACAGAGATGAGACAACTTGCATAGTCAATGTCAAGATGGAAAATCTCTCTGTGCAGTATCGACTACCTCCAAGTACTGGCGAGTTCGTTATTGCCCTTTTGAGTTCAGAAATGACCCGCTCAGAAATCGGGAGCTTTGCTTGGAACTATCAGGTTGCCTGTGGCCTCCCCCAGGAGATGGACCTTCAGACAAAGCTGACCAATCAGCAGCTCCCCCTAATCTCTGATGATCCTTACCTTCGTCCAAGATCACATTAGGTCATGTGACTGGCCAGGAGGCGAGCCCGCAGAAGTGTCATCTGCAGGGGTTTAAAGTGTATTTAAGACCCAAACATTTTGGTTTTCGATAGAACAAGGAATGGTATTTTTCTTCTGTGCCCCTGCAGCAGAGATTTGCCGGTCTGTTTGTCCTAGTGGCCATGGTCACCGCACTAAAACAAGGAAAAATCCAACCTTTCAAATTGTCACTAAAACAGGAATGGGAGGGAAGCGTTCCAGTAACAAGAGAGGATTTCCCCCGTGCTGGGGAGCTTTTTCTCTCACTTCCCATTGTGTCTACAGGAAATGAATGGAAATCTCTACAACGCGGGACACAGTTGGCAAAAAGTAAAACCTGATGGGATCTAACATTCACCACTCCATCCATATCTTAAAAAAAGTTTTAGCTTGAGTTATACTTTAATTAAATTCTTATTTAAGGAACACCAATATCTACTATGGCACCACGGAAAGTAATAGATATAACAAGGGTTGGTAAGAATAACACAGTACATAAAACGTTCCAATGATGAGTCAATCTTGCTTTGACACCACTTATGACATATATTCTGTTTAGAGAACGTTTTGTTTGCTTTCTGTGCTTTGATCACCTGGATTGTTTTTTCCTGAAACCGATTTCTGTGTGCAGGTATAGAACCAGAGAAGCAAGTGGAATCCACTCGGGAAGTTCTGAAGACGTTGCCTGAGGAAAACTATGAGGTCCTGCGGTTCCTCACAGAGTTTCTTGTGGAGGTGAGACCCTGTATTTTAGTAGGATCTAGACTTAGAAGCTGCTGTCACTGCATCCATCTGAGTACTGCTGTACTTTAGGGCTGCAACAACTAATCGACATAATCGATTATAATCGATTATTGAAAAAGTTGTCAACTTTTTCAATAATCGATTAATCGGCTTCCGATCAGTTGGCCCTGTTCACAAACTTGGTACAATAAGGGCTCAATGTCATTGGGTGTTTTCCTGCATTTGGAACACCTCAAGCGTAGGTCAGGAAAATCCCATTGACTGTAGTTGAGCAGTACACATAGCAATTTGGAGGCTACGTTTAGGTCAGCCTTTTCTTGTCAAGCACTGCTGCATGCGTTCAGATGGAAAACACAATGGGGGGAATTTTATCCATACTGGAGCAGAAGAATCTGGAGCAGTTGCCTATGGCAGTCTGTTCAGTTAAGGTTTGAAAATGAAAGGTGGATGCTGATTGGTTGCCGTGCACAGCTGCCCCAGATTTTGTTTGCTCCAGTTTTGATCAATTCCCCTCAGTGTTTGTTGTGGCCCTAATGCATTCAGACGCCTGTCTAAATTCCAGCCTCAGCTATTGAGCTCTGTAAACAAGCAAAAAGCAGTGTTAGGAAATCCTGCAGCCAGTCAGTCATCAAAATCATAAAGGTGAAATCAGATGTGACATCAATGGCTTACTGCTTATCATTGCCTTTGAAGTGCTTTACTAAGTAAACCTGAGCTGTTCCATATGGTGTAGACTAGAGCTGCAGCTAACGATTATTTTAAAAATCGATTCGTTAGCCGATTATTGAGTTTGATTAATCGGATAAAAAAATAAAATACTTTTTTAAAAATGGCTCCAGAATGGGACTACTAGTTTGTAGTGAGATTGTAGTCCATCACAGGAGCAAGCTTGGAGCGGTGGAAGTAAATAAGAAAAAAAAATGTGGTGCGCAATATAGTGAAATGAAAAGTGTAAAATGTATATAGCAATGAATGCAGAATGGCACTGGCTATAGAGGACTACAAATCCCAGCAATAGTACCTTATACAGCACAATACAGAATACCACCAGCTACAGAGGAGTACAACAAATCCCAGCAATAATATTATACAGCGCAATGCAGAATACCACCAGCTATATAGGACTACAAGTCCCAGCAATACATTATAGTTGGTGGTATTCTGCATTGCTGTATAACTATGTCGATTTAGTTGTTGCGCCCCTATTGTAGACAATGGCATGTTGTCGATTAGTTGTTGCAGCCCTAGTGTAGACAGCTGGCCATGGACATTTTGTTGACCACTAGGCACATCTCAGAATTTGTGTGGTGATCTGCCTTCTGGCCTCTCTCTCTTTTTGCAGGTTTCTGCTCGGAGCTCTGAGAATAAGATGACCAACACTAACCTGGCGGTGGTATTCGGGCCAAATTTCATGTGGGCGAAAGACGTGGCCATGACCCTAAAAGCCATTAATCCCATCAACACCTTCACCAAGTTCTTGCTGGACAACCAGAAGGAGCTGTTTGAAGAACGTTCTTTGTAAACCAGTATGTTGTCACTGCAGCACTCCGCCACTGCCAATCTGACGCCACACAACCACCTGCCCCGCAGCACTGTTCCGTTCCATTCTGTATGTAAACACCTATGTGTGACGTGTTGGAGCTGGCATCTCCAACTTAAATTACAGCACAAATACCCTTCTAGTTGAAGCCGCCCATGTGTCTACTCGGTGTATGCCGCTCGGTGACAGCTGATGCCTCTGGCAGGCTTAAGCATTTTTGTGTTGTGTGATCGTTGTGATGTTCAATGGCATGTTGGGTGTGAGGTGTTGTGTTTTGGTGTAAAGACCCCATACAGTTGTTGAAGGGGAACCTTCTATCCTATAATACTCCTCTCCCCTAGTTGGAATACTTGCACGCTTTTTGACAATTTTAGCTTGTGTTTTTCTTTTCCCTCCCTTATTCCAGGAGTTGTCATGGCAGTCAATCCCATTCTAGTGGCCACTTTTGAATTCACATTGGGACATGAATGCTAAGCTCTGATTGGTTGCTGGTTTGTCAAGAAAGAACTCCACTTAAACATTTTAGTTTGGAAGAGGATGCTGGAAGGCAGGGTTTAGTTATCACTCATCTCTATACTGCTGGTACCGTT